TTGTTACACTTACCTAAAAACTTTTAAAGACTAATTTGTGTAGAATTTTATGCTTAATATTTATTTCTTCACATTAATTACCTTAATTTGCAAAATCTTACAAAATGTAAAAATTTGTACCAAGCAGGTGCAAGGATTGCGTAAATTCTTTTGTTGATATCTCGATATTTAACAGAAATATTATAAAACGTTATATGAGGCCAAAATAGACAAGTTTATCCTCTAAAAGTTTGTCTTTAGTGATTTTAATATACAACCTATACTTTTTGCAATATATTACAAAAATTCATTTATATTTCTATGACGTTAAAACTCACCTTAAACAAATAGTTTTAGTTTGCATTTAAAATTTTTCTGATAATTTTAAATAGACGCAATAGATAATTTTTCTTATCATTTTTTGTATGACTAACAGAAGATAAATTTTTTTATAATATTTAGCAACAAAAACACTTGTCTTTAATTATTTGTGCGGATATAAATTATCGCTTTTAAAATTCTATTAGTCATTTAATTTCAAGGTTGTGTTTTTGTCTGTAATTTTTTCTTATCAGACGGAAGCGTTTATAATTATCATGTAATATGTATATATATATATATATATATATAATAGACATTTACAAATAAATATCTTACAAAATAATAACTATCCCCTTTCCACTATTTATTATCGATTTCATCGCGATTTATGATCGATTTCTCGTGACTTATCGCCTCATATCGCCATATATCGACATATCGATAACCATAAATACAAATATCGATGTATCGATAACTATAAATACAAATATCGATATCCGTTTGCAAATAGAATCGAAATCGTTTGCAGTTTGTTGAGAAAACGCGAACAAATCCGTTATGTCGTAAAATCTTGTGATTCAACTGGTTTTGTATTTTATATCTTATTCGATATAAAATACTGAGTCATCGGATTCCTTCACTAGAAATTGTGTTTATTTATTAAAAAATAGTTATATAATGTTTTTTTGTGCGGTTTGTTGGAAATCGTTGCGCACTGAGGGTTGGAGGGAGACACAACATTTTTGTTCTGGGCCTGGTACGCGTTTGCAAAATTTTGGGATAAATTTTAGACTCACAGTTTTTTGTATTAGATAGGTTTGTAGTAGATGAAATTACAATCAGTTTCTGTATTATAAGTTTTGTCGTATCTATAATAGTTTTTACATAATGTTGAAAAAAGTAGGAAGATCGAGATTAAGTTGTTTGTGCACATTTTATGTCCCTATTTGCTGTATGTTTTGTATCCTTTGAACGCTATATCTAATTTCAATGAAATATTCGACAAATTTGTGCAAAATTAAACAATTTATAATATTGTCAAACAATATAATACTCTACAGCATCTCAGTATACTCTAAAATTTCAATACAAAACCTGAAGGCAAAATTTTAATTCCTCATATTTTGTGCCCCTATTTACTGCATTTTTTGTATCTTCTAAACGATACGTCCAATTTTAATAAAACATTTGACAAATTTATTTAAAATTAAACAATCCACATATTGTGTAACAATATAATTGCTCTACAGCAACTCGGTATACTCTAAAATTGCAATACAAAACTTGAATGCAAGATTTTAATTCTTCACGCTTTGTGTCCCTATTTGCTGTATTTCTTGTATCTTTTGACGGTACATCCGTATTTAATGAAACATTCGACAAATTTATGAAAAATTAAACATTTTACATATTGTCTAACAATATAATACTCTACAGGAACTCGGTATACTCTAAAATTGCAATACAAAACCTAAATGCAAAATTTTAATTCCTCACGCCTTGTACCCTTATTTGCTGCATTTTTGGTATCTTTTGAACGATACATCCAATTTCAATGAAATATTCCACAAATTTCTTTAAAATTAAACATTTAACAATATTGTCTAACATCATAATACCCTACAGCAACTCCGTATACCTTAAACCTTTAAAATTGCAATCCGTTATTCAACTTATCCATCTACATCATCTTGCATCATTTTTCACACACGTCAGTCGATTTTTTCAGTTTCTTTTGCAAGAGAGTAAAAGGTAAAAAGTGTAAAAAAGTAAATTGAGTAAAAAAACGACAGAAATAATTATGAAGACGATCCCAGGAGCAATAAAATACAAAACGACCGCAGACACAAGAAGGTAAATCGTCGAGATCCTGTTTAGGCGGAAACTGTAACAGCTTTTTTATTTATTATTTCTTTTGCCAACGAGAAAATTATTATTTCATAGGATGACATGGACATGAAATTCTATAAAATTGAAAGATGATTTGTGGGAAATGTAACTAGTGGTGTATGAAGATTTTTGCTAGTGTCTCCTGCACCTCAAAATTTTGGTCTTTTGGTCATTTACCAATTTTTTATAATTCTTTTTTTCCAGATCAATCTGGTGGTACCTGGTCACCAAGAAAATCCTCCAGCAATTGCTACAGAATCAACAATACCTCGTCAACATCATCTTCAACATCCAACGATGTTGTCAACCTAAATTCCAGTTACCATTTGTCAAGTCAACAAAAATCTAAGACTTTGAATGCCTTGTTGACGAATCGTCAACAAAGTGTTGAAGAAGACTTCCAAAACTTCCAGAAAACTCACCAGAGAAAAACTTTGGAGAGGAGTGGTAATTTGGAAAAAAGGAGTTTTGGGGATGAAGATAAAAGTGAGTTAGATGGTAGGTAAAAGGATGAAAGAAATATTTTTTTGGTTTTCTAGGACAAAAAAGGAGATTCGTTGGAAAAGGAAATGAGTTTTTAGCTTATTTTTGTAGTAGTCTCCAAATAATTTTTCTTTGTCTATTTTTGTCTTTTTTTATAATGTTATTTTTTATTTTTTTAGATCCTGATGGTTCCCTAAAAATAGGCGACATCCACAACCTCCTGCACACAAGTACCCCAAAATCTAAGGTCAAAATCGATTCCTTGTGCTTCACTGCTAAATTAAAATCAATGTCCGACAGGTATGTAAAAATTTTGTATACTTGTGTATTGTAATTGTTGTAACTTTTGAATGGTTTGTCTGATTAGTATGAAGTATTCAGGAAATTTATTTAAAAGTGGATAATCTACGATATTGTTTAAAATTATAAAGTCCTAGATCAACTCGGTATACTTTAAAATTGCAATTGAAAATACACAAGTAGTATGACCTTGATAAAAGTGCATGTAACTTTTGTAGCGTTCGTAGATCTCAAACCATTTGGTTTGTTTTAATGATGTTTTAAGGAAATTTGTTTAAAATTTAATTGTCTAAAATATTTTCTAACATTATGTTGACCTAAAGCAACTCGGTGTACTTTAAAATTGCATTTGAAAATACAAAATTAATATGAACGTGCTAAAGGTGCAAAATTAATATCAATGTTACAGAAGTTGGGTGGAAATGGTGCATTTGTTTGTTGTATTTTTGATATAACTTTTGAACCGTTTGTGTGATTAGTATGAAGTATTCGGCAGATTTGTTTAAAATTAAACTACAAACAATTTTGTTGAATATTATAAAGTCCTAGAGCAACTCGGTGTACTTTAAAATTGCAATTGAAAACACAAAATTAGTACCAACGCCCTTAACGTCAAAAATCAATGTCAGATTCGTACGCAGAATTTATACATCGGTTCATTAAATTTGTAATAACTTTTTAACCGTTTATTTTAATAGTATCAAATATTTTGCAAATTTGTTTTAAAATAGATAATCCATAATATTGTTTAATACTTTAAAGCTTTAAAAATATTGCTCTAATTACAATTTGCAATTAAGAATATGAAAGTAACATTCAAGGAAGTCAAATTAGTGTGCGCTAGAGGTGCACTTATTTATTGTAGATCTTAAATCAATAGTTTAATTTGAATGGTGTATAGAAAACTTATTTAAAATAAAACAGTCTACAAAATTTTGAAACATTATAATGACCTAAAACAACCCAATATACTTTAAAATCGCAATTGAAAATACTAAAATTAGTTGCGAGCGCGATGAACGTAAAAATCGATATCATACAGGTACGCTGAACGTATACATTTATTTACAATTTTTGTTATAACTTTTTAACCGTTTGTGTGATTAGTATGAAATATTTAGCAAATTTGTTTAAAATTTTATAAAGTCCTAGATCAACTCGGTGTACTTTAAAATTGCAATTGAATATACGCAAGTAGTACATGAGTGCTAGAAGTGAATTTATCTACTATATTGCATGTAGATCTTGAACCATTTGACTAGCATTAATGATGTATTCGATAAATTTATTTATAATTACATATTGAAAAAATTTTGTTAATAAGAAAATTTCATAGAATAACTCGTTCTACTTTTAAATTGCTATTGAAAATACAAAATTAGTAAGAGCATTCTAAAAACTTTGGTTTAAAGATGTGGATTTTATTTGATCAAGTTGCGTGTAATCTCGTGTAATATATTAATATATTACAATATATTATATTTATTATATATATATATATTAATATTTAACATTTATCTATTACTACGGTACATTCTGCATATTTGCAAAACAAGTCGGCGGCAATTAATTAAAATAATATTTGCCGCCGCGGTTATTCCGAATATTTCCGATAAGGAATTTAGATAGAGTTCTACGATACGAAAACAAAAAACACCCGAAGACTGTTATTAAAATTGTCTGTTATTAAAATATTAATAACAGAATTTATGACGGAATTAAATTCATGCATAAACATAGGTAATAAATAGTATCGATTAATTGCTTTGAGAATATTTTGCATTAAAATTTCGTTATGGTGTTATGTAACTGTTAAATGAGAGGATAGTAGAATTAATTATTTTGTTTATATTTAAAAAATAAGTGCAATTTATGGAACTGTTTTGGTCTTAAGAAAACTATCTTCTGTATGCACCTATTTACAAATCAGATTTATGAGTACTATAGTTCCATATTAGAAGTCGATTTAGGAGTTTATCAAATTACTCTAGATTGTTTTGTTGTTAACAAAAAATGTTTATTATTCAATTCTGAATCAATCTGCCATATGCACCATTCATGCTAACCGAATGGTTTAAGATCTACAAACGATATAAACAATGAATGCACTTTTTCATTCTAGTTAATTCCAGAACACTTCTACGTACAATTCAGAATTATTAGTAATATAGTTCCATATTCGACATTGATTTAAAAGTATACAGAGTTGTTCTAGAGCATCATGTTATTAACAAAACTTATTTATTATTCAATTCTGAATAAATTTGCCATATACACCAATAATGCTAATCGAATGGTTTGAGATTTTCAAACGACATGAGCAATGAATGCACGTACTCTCTCATACTATTTGTGTATATTCATTTGCAATTTTAAAGAACACCAAGTCGCTTTAGGGTTTTGTCATATCAGAAAATATTATAGACCGTTCAATTTTACACAAATTTTTCCTAAAACGCCATTCATATTAATCAAATAGTTTAGGAACAATCAACAATACTACATATGAATGCACTTTCAATTGCTCATTTCAATTTAGTATTTTCAATTGCAATTTTAAAGCACATCAAGTTGCTGTAGGGCTTTATAATATTAGAAAATATTATGTACTATTCAATTTTACACAAACTTTACTAACACATTATGCATAAAAAACGCATGTTTTAAAAGATACATGATATATAACAGACGAGTGTTCGATACTACATATAAAGTAGTAGTAGGATAAAGTTGCTCCTTACTATAAACATTACAGCGGGTCAAATTTTATGAAAATGCATGTGGGGTCTCGTTTGAAAGGTTTCGATGAGGACATTACGAATATCAATATTAAAAATGATTATTACGTATTTAAAAAAAATATTTGTAAATGTGTTTTAAAATTTTAGAAGTTATTTATATCTTATTTTTCATACATGTTTATTTAAACTTTTATGTAACTGTTTTTACTTTATATATGTAAATTATTGTCATTATTTTTAAAATTATATTCTGCCTTATTATATTTGATTATTAATTAATTTTATATTTATTTATCTTGCATTATCTTTAGTATGAATTTTTCATTAATTTTTTTTGTTATAAGGCACCAAAAATTAGTCAAAATTGAAAAATGATTTGCAAGTTTTTTTTTTAAATTTAACCGTGTTTCTTTCAAAAACTTATTGAATGTCCCAATACAAACTTGTTATTATATATTATATTATTAATATCTAAATAATTATTGCATATTAATTATTCATTTATTTGACCGTTTGTTCCAATTAATTTTGCTTGTAGAATAAAAATCGCGTTATTTGCTAATCTCGTGACAGAGATTGTGTGTCAGTACTTTTGCATATATTAATATTTATATTGATATTAATAATTTGCAAATATTTATTATTTGAATAACAGTTTTTGTGCAAACAGAACGAGAAATCATATTTGATCAACTGTTGAGGAACGGACTAATGACGGTACTGTGTTCTAATTAAAATATAAATGTGTAGGTATATATATATATATATATATATATATATATATATATATATAATGATGATCTCTCACCTTTTGCACAACCTTTGGATTAGCACGAATATTTCAAAACTAAATGTGGCCAAATCGGTTCAGTCGTTTTCGAGTTTTATCGAATCTTTTTATATATATACAACAAAAAATAAATAATAAAAACAAACTTAGAGTCCAAATTAAATCAAGAATTTTTTTATCTATATAATTTTTTTCTCCTTAGGTATCTCAAAGCATCCACCCACAGAATCCTGGCAAAGTTGTACCGCCAGCAAAATTCAACAGAATACGATTTGACCACTTTGGAAACATCAACACTAAATGACCAGCCTGATGATCATCCTGGACGAACCAGGACAAACATTACACCTAATAATTCAGCAATTTCCAATATCAGTCATCGGAGAAAACGAGGGACTGCCAAATTGAGGAGCTTTTCATATGGAGCTTTACCAGGTAAAATGATAATGGTCTTTTGGTAATAGACAAAGGATGATCATCATTTGATCTTTGTTTTTGGTTTTTTAGGTGTCGAAGAATTCAGGAAAAGCGAATTTATGTTCACAGACACGTCTAGGACTGAAGACAACTCCGGTGCTTCAAATTTGTTTGACAAAACAGCAAACAAATCAGAAGATCCTAGTACAGACAATTTGGATACCAGACTTCAACAAGAAACAACTGATCAAGGTAAGCTCTAATTTACCAACCACTTTGCACAATTTTACCTATGTCCTTTTACCCAGATTTTGCAAGAGCCTCAAGGCAAGGTTTAAATAAAACTTCCTTTGCAAACAATTTTATTTATATCTATTTTCCAGATTTTGCAAGAGCCTCAAGTGCATCCTTTGATAGAACAAGGCAGCAATTTGAGGACTATTCTGAAGGAGCGACTTCAAATTTCTTTGCTGGTAATAAAGAAACCAATGAAGACTGTGATAGTGGTATAATGGTAAATGATTCTAGTTCTGTTCTGGCATGTTCTGTAGTTGAAAATGATAATACAAGGCAAGAGGAACTTCCTAAACTGGTAAGACTTGATGAAAATGTATGTTTGTTTGCTGTGCGATCAGGCGTATTTTACATACGAAAGCAAGGAAGATAGAACAAAGTTTTTGCTTTGTTTATATGTAAAACTAGATGACCCGACAGACGTTGCCCTGTACCCACGTCTACATTTTTTTAATATCCTATACTAATATTTACCGTTCAGTTAAAATAGTAATTATTGTTTTTTAAATTACTCTTCACGCTAAAATGCATATACATTTATAATATGAGCGATGTTAAATATAGAACTGCTTTAAATGAAATGATGAGTCTCAATTCTCACAATATACTGGAAATTGAAGTCTTTTAAACGGTATAACATAACCATAACCATAACATAACACTGGTACTTCTTGTTGGATTAAATTAATTTAATTTTATATTATTTAATTTATCCAAAATTGCATCTTAAACTTCTCCCAATCGATATCGTGAGGGCCGAATTGTATGTATTCATCTTTACTTTCCCATTCGTTGTTCTAAGTGAAATTTTTACGAATTTTAAAAATATTGTGGAAAGATTAGTAAAAAATGCAAAGAAATTATATATTGATAAAAACTATATTGAAAATTAAATATCCGAATCTTGTGTTGGCGCCCCCTAATGCGTGCGCTCGTATTTTTCGCATGCATCGCATTAAAGGTAGGTCCGGCCCTGATTAATACTTAATTTCATATTTTAAGTAAATTATTTTGCAATATCCTGATCATATGTGTATCATTCAATCTGCCATACAAATACTGTATTTTATATTATTTTAATTTCTGGCACATCTCAGCTGCTTTTTGGCAATAATTATATAGACATTTCATTTTTCTTATTCATAATCATAAATTTATTATGCATATTCTAACATTGTCTAGGTTCATAAGTAAATTGAAATTTTTGGCAGATGATAGTTTTTATTTGTTTTCAATGCAAACAATGACATGTCGTTCTTTGCAATTGTTTCCATTTATTTCTACAATATTGCACAAACATTCCAGTACTTTATAATCGCATACATGGTAGAAAATTTCCTTAACAAACTTCAGAAAGATTTATCAAAGTCCGAATAATCGTTTAGAAGGAGTATACAGTGAGTGCTTGTAATTTAATATGAACTTTATATAAAAGCAATAAAGCCAGGGGCGTAGCGTGCCTTTAAGAGGGATAATGATATTTTTAAGGAAATATTTAATAAAATTAAAGAAATATTTATTTATCTTTATTCATCTGTAAATTTTCTGAATTTTTTTCAAAGGATTCCAAACGTATATTTACTCTCCTTGTCTTTTTTCAAAAAACTGATTTATTAAATATATCTTCAGTTTTTTTGAAGTTTTTGCCTTCAGAGACGATAGTGACAGGTCTGTTAGACATTTCTCTCTTAAAGTTCTATATAATTTTTAATTAGTTTTATTTTCGAAAAATTTATTTTAGCAGTTGCGATTGTAACTGAAAGACTGAAAAATGAAATCCATATTGTTTTTACGTTAGTAAAAAGAAGTTACAAAATTGATTTTTTTTAAAGTTTATGATTTTAAATACGTTGTTCATGAAGATTATCTTAGATATTATCTGGATTATTTGGGACAGTATTTAGTGTACAGTTTTCCAGAGCATTTATTATCTCTTGATTTGAAACAAAAAAAAAGTTTTTTCGGTTGACATTTTTGAACATGCTAGGCATATAATACCAAAAGGTATAGTAATATTTGTTTGGTTACTTATAAAAATAAAAACAGTAATTAAATACACCTAATAATTGGGACCAACAATAGATTCGCAAACTATGCTTGATTGGCTTGGCGAGCCAGATGAAGATGATTTAATTGATCATCTTTATCTAAATGTAACTATAAAATTTACCCATCATATAAATATTTTATAAATTTTTGATGGAAAATATTAAGCTGGATTAGTTTTATAGATTTGATCATATTACAATTTACAATAATATTAACTTATTGAAATGCCGTGTGGCCATAAAAGCTGCCACAGCTGTAATTAATAATACAGCCTTTATTATCAACTAAGTTTGAAACGTGTATAATTGCCTATTATCATTTTCAAAATATTATGGATATTCTTTCGTTTTGGAAAAGTAGATACAAAGTGCGTGAAAATAAAAATCAGCTTTAAATATTGCGCAACTAAATATAAATTCTCTATAGCGTTGGACTTCAAAGTTAAAAACAGCGTCCTTCTGTTTTAAAATAAAATTAAATATCTTTAAATAACAAATAGAATTGCTAACTATGAAAATTGTTGTTCGGCTTTAAAGTTTTTATCTATCATTGCTTTTGCTTGTTGGGGGGGGGGGGCTGAATAAAGCTCAAATTGATTCTAGGTTTTAGTTAGAAAACGTTTGTATAAGAAAAAGAAAAGGGCTATTTTTAGGGGTTTTCCGGCAATTATTTGTATTTTTTCTCGCCGTAAGAACCATCCTTGAACTTCAACGAACATTTTAAAAAAAGAATTGGCCGAATTGGTCCTGGCGTTGTTGAGTTATGTGCTTACCAACACATTTTGAGATTCATTTTTATACGCCTGATCGCACGGCAAATACACATACATTTTCATCAATGTTATGAGGAAGAATTGCCCCATTATTGATGTTTTTGTGTTTCAGGAACTCATACGTCCAACCAGATGCGCATCTTTAGACCGAAAACGGATTTTGCGATCCCAAGACTTCCATCCTAACCAATCCAGACAACGTAAATTATCATCAGATGTATCTTGTGCCTCCAATATCCACCAAGATATCATATATTGCCAGGATGTGCCAATACACAAAACCAGCATAGTTATTGGTACAGAAACTTCTGCAAAAGATAATTTAACCATGAAAATCCATGTGCCACTACCTCCTAAAGAAAAATTAAAACGAAAGGCTAGTGAATTCCGATTGGTAAGACTTGTAAAAAAGTTAGATGACGAGGATTTGGGGATTGTTATCAAACAAGATGATTTTTGTATCATTGAACAAATTGTTGAAGGAGGCCTGGCTGATAGGTAAGTAAATTAAGGGGCACAACTAGTGTAACCGCTTATAAAAAAGGTGATTTTTGGGAATTTATATTAAAAAAACTGCTTCATCAATCATTTCAAAATTTTAGGAATATATTTATACATGCTTTAAAAATACATAGTAAAATTTTTGAAGGAAAAAAATAAATATTTTTTAAGTTATCGTCGATCTCCAACGGCGCAACAAAAAAGGCCCTTCACTGCTGCAGTGATTCCGGCCTTTTACGTCGATGAAATTTAAAAAAATATTGTCATTAAACTAGATATTGTCTGTAAAATGAACTACGATCCGATTCGCTAATTTTATGTTTTCTCGACGTTTCAAGCCATTCTGAATCGAATGAGACCAAATTCAAGGAAAAAGTATGTGTGTGTGTGTGCGTCTGTGTGAACAGATTTTTTGCCGTAAATCGAAGTTTTCTCAAAAACGGTTAGACCGATTTCAGAAATTTAAAAGCCATTCGATGTATTTCGACGAGGACTAGCGTTTCTGAGTTTTGTGCGACGATCGGCTGAGCCGTTTCTTTGTAAATTGCAGAAAAGTGAAACATTTTTCGTCTTCGTTTTAGCCCGCAATTCTGAACCGATTATGTAAATTCAAAAACCGTTCGAAAGATATTGGTTGGGAATCGTGCTGATTAGTTTTTGGTAAAGATCGGCCGAGCCGTTTTCTTGTAATATAGTGTTAAAAAATTTTTTTTTGACGATTTTGATTATTATTTTTTTGGCGATAGATACCATAGTCTTTTAGATCATACTAAAATATTTCGGCCCTACGACAACTCGTTTAACTGTAAAAACTTCGTCAAAGGTTGCAAAAATTGGTATCGTTTTTTTGGCATTTGTCAAAATTAGACCTTTCATCGACATTTTCTCAGAAACGCCTGAACCGATTTCAGAAATTTAAAAGGCATTTGATGTATCTCGATGAGGATTATCGTTTCTCAGCTTTGTGCGACGATCGGCCGAACCGTTTTTTTGTAATTTGGAAAAAAGTGTCAAACCTTTCGTCCACATTTAAGCTCATACTACCGAATCGATTTTAAAAAATCAAAAACTGTTCGAAAGATATTAGTTGGTAATGGTACTGATTAATTTTAGGTGAAAATCTACCGAGCCGTTTTCTTGTAACTAACTGTTGAAAAAAAAAATTAAGCCGATTTTTATGGATTTTTTTTGCGATATATATCATGGTCTTATAGAACTTACTGAAATATTACGGCCTTACGACAAATAGTTTGATTTTAAAAATTCATCAAAGTTTGAGAAAATGAGTAGTTCTTTTGAGATTTGTTAAAATTAAAATTAGACTATTTGCTTGGTATAATGATAGAGTACTTGGTCTTGAACATAATAAACCATTGAAGTCCTGAAAACTGGTTCAATTATAAAAATTATTGATTTTTGAAAATTTGGTTTTAGAAAATACTCCGAGTCAAAGTGTTCGTTCGTTTCAATTATGTGTAATAAATCCACTCGGAATACTTTTAATGACTCATAAATTAATTTATTTTTTATTGATTAAGTCGATTATTTACACATATCGGGAAGTTCATGTAACTTGCCTTAAGGCTAACTACCGATACCAACTAGTATAGATTTTTTTTGAAGAACTCTGACCATTTGTAGAATACACGTTATAAAATTATACAGGCTTAGTGATTTTATAAATATCATACAAATTTTTGTAAATTTTCAGTTTTTTTTTCAAAATTATGAAATTTGTTATTCTAAATAAAAATCTTGATAGTAAGTAAAGTCTTGATAATATTTTTGGTATGAATTTTGAATAACATTTTAGTATGAATTATGAATAACAATTTGTTAATTTATCAATTGAGTTTGAAATTATTCAACTCCTCATATTTAGTACTTTATCATATATTCATTAATTTTTTGAACGCTATAATTTTCTAGTAATTTGTCACTTTCTCATCTAGTAATTGTTGTTCTAACTATTTTTTGATTTCAGGGAAGGCACTTTACGTCCTGGCGACGAAATCGTGAACATCGGCAACCAACGTTTAGCAAAACTACCTTTGGTTCAAGTCGAAGCAATTTTAGCCTCAACTGGTAAAATAGTTGATTTAGTTATCAGAAGACGTGTAGTTGATGTAGTTGACTTAAAACTACCCACACCAGTAGACATAGATTACAAATCCTTAGCCACATCATGTCTGGACATCACAAAACCACCTGAACTCACCCAAACCAAAACAGAACTTTTACCCCAAGATCAAAATATTATTACCAAACGTCGTCAATCGATAGAGCAAACTTTTTCTTCGATGAATTTCTGTACTTTACCCCGTCGGCCGAAATCGAGTGCCTGCACTTTCCATACAGTTCTTTTCGAAAAGGGTCAAGGGAAAAAAAGTTTAGGGTTCACAGTCGTCGGTGGCAGAGATTCTCCGAAGGGCAACATGGGTATTTTTATCAAAAGTATTTTGGAGAGTGGACAGGCTGCCGATGATGGTCGATTGAAGGCTGGTGATGAAATTTTGGCTGTCAATGGTAATGTTTTTGATAATTTGTCGCATTCGGAGGCTGTTGCTGTTTTTAAGGGCATTAAGAGCGGACCTGTTGCCCTGCATGTTTGTAGACGAGGCCTCAAAGGGGTAAAGGGGTAAAGGACAAGGGGTAAAAAACAACTATTTGTTTGATAATGCTGAGAAGTTTTGCAAAAACCAATTATAAGTTTTTGGATCAATATTGTAAAGGACACGCGCCGATTTTTTTCTACGAAGTCGATGATTTATGATGATTTACTGGTGGATCAATATTCAAAGGAAGTTTGATGGAAAAGAATTTTATATTAAGATGTTGACCAATTAAAGACATTTACTGTAAAAATAATTGTCCTGGTTGCCTGGTATCCTGAAATTTTTGTATAATGATGACCAAATTAGATTTACGTTGACCAAAAGTTTTTGCAACATTTTGAAATACCAAGGAGTGAAATTATGAATTGAATTGATAATTGATACACTTTATATTAATCCAGATGAATTGGCTCATATTTAGAAGATTCTGGAAGTTTATTTATATTTTTTGGGTAAAGAAGGAATTGATAAAGACGTAGTTTACTTGGTGAGTTGATTCAATTCTTGAAATTTTCTTTAAAAACTAATAAAATTCGCCATATTTTTTGAGACAAAGAAGAAATTTGAATTATTTTGACCAAGACCAGTAGAATGATGATTTCGGTTAAAATTCTAATAAATTGATAATCAGGAAGTCAGGTAATAATTTTTATTAGAACCAACAAAAATCTAAGGTAAGTTAATGCCAAATTAGGCTTGATGTTGAGAAAATATTTAGAATTCAAGGAATTATTGTTATATTGTTTGAATTATTGTTTCTGGATAAATTAAAATAGTAAAGGAAATACTTTTAGTTTTGGTAAAAATCGAAACATACAATGATGATTTTTTATCAAGAGTTTAATATTGACCAAGAATTTAGCAAAATTATAATATCCTTGGTTAATCTGAATCAGGTGAAGATTTTTCTTGAATTTTGCATATTTTAGTTTGCAAAAACAATTCAAACTAATCACATAATAATTCAAGAATGAGCAAAAAACAGAATTTTTTCACTTTAATTGATATTTCTTGTAAATATAAAAATCAACACAAACAATAAAGAAATCTTTGGTAAATCTTTGCATAAATAAATTTAACAAATATATTGTGGACTATATGAAGAAATGTAAATGTAGATATAAAATAGATTTATTTAACATTTAAACGTGACAACATATTAGTTAAATTATTAATAAATATTCTTTGTATATATTATATATTTTCCATAAAATTTCTAGTATCCTAGTATATAAATTTATTATTTACTTAACCCAAAGAAATTTTCATAAAATTAGTATAAATATAGTTTTAATTCTAGAATAAAATTTTATTTTTATATTTGACTATTATATATATATATATATATATATATATATATATATATATATAAAGAATAAATATTATATTTTGTATATATCAACTAAATATATGTGTATGTCATAAATATAAAATATATTTTTTAAACATTAATTTAAGTTTTTTTTAAATTATTTTCTTATATGAATAGCTGAATGATGACACACATCCAGAGTCAAAACGTACAGAATAAATATCTTCTAAATTAAAAATATAAGTAGGTATTTTTATGAAATATTTGTTTTTTCTATAACATCTGTTTAAAAAAAGATCATGAACAGTGGTTAATTAATTTTTAATGTATTAAGTTAATTTCTAAAAATTTTACAAAAAAATATTTTTGCAAATATTTCAAAAATATATATTTTATAAATAAAATTGTAATACTACTAAATTGTTTTTCTTTGCAGGTTTCTTAGGCGTATTACTTTATCGAATTGTGTGCGAAAAACATTGCAAACTAGACAAAAAGTAAGTAAAATATTTTACAAATTTTATTATTATTGATGATGTGTCCGATGGCAGGTCCATGATGGTACAACACTCTATTTTTATCCTTTAGTTATAATTTGATAAATTTCTCAAACTTTTATTCCAAACTTTTGTCCTGATTTCCAGTTAAGTTTTTTTAAGTTTTTACTCTAATTGTGATTCATAAATTGAATTTTAATATAATATATAATAATTAAAATTTTTAAATCAAAACTTCGTAATTATTTCTTACTAATCCACAGCAGCAAAAATATTTCAAATAATTATGTGGAAATTTTGGTAGTTCAGTTCTAAACTTTTATATTATTAAAAACTTATCAAAATTATAGTAATCAATAGTAAGTTTCAGAAAATTACGACATTTTTATTAAATCAGATCAACCACAGTACCTTTATTTTAATTTTATTTTTTAGTGAAATAATTATATATCTTATAAAAGTATACTCCGGCAAGGCTATATTACTTTGCATTTTTCATATAAAATGGCACTAAAAACTGTTTTAGTGTTTTACTCAACTTAAATTTGCTACAATATAATTGCAAATAAGTTTTACTTCAATCGCGTGTGATCCTTACGCGCACTATTTTTTTATACTTCCTTTGCAAACAATTTTATTTATATCTTTTTTCCAGATTTTGCAAGAGCCTCAAGTGCATCCTTTGACCGAACAAGGCAGCAATTTGAGGATTATTCTGAAGGGGCGACTTCAAATTTCTTTGCTGGTAATAAAGAAACCAATGAAGACTGTGATAGTGGTATAATGGTAAATGATTCAAGTTCTGTCCTGGCATGTTCTGTAGTTGAAAATGATAATACAAGGCAAGAAGAACCTTCTAAACTGGTAAGACTTGTGATGAATCTGTGTGTTTGCTATGCGATCAGGCGTATTTTACATACGAACGCAAGGAAGATAGGACAACGTTTTTGCTTTGTTTATATGTAAAACTAGATGACCCGACAGACTTTGTCCTGTACCCATGTCTACATTTTTTTTAATATAATATACTAATATTTACCGTTTACCTAAAAATAATAATTATTGTTTTGTAAATTACTCTTCACCCCAAAATGCATATACATTTATAATATGAACGATGTTAAACGTAGAGCTGCTTTAAATAAAATGATGAGTCTCAATTCCCACACTAATACTGGAAATTGAAGTCTTTTAAACGGTATAACATAACCATAACATAACACCGGTACTTCATGTTGGATTAAATTAGTTTAATTTTTTATTATTTAAGATATCCAAAATTACATATTAAATTTCTCCTAATCGATATCGTGAGGGCCGAATTGTATGTATTCATCTTTGTATTTTGTATTTGTATTTCCCATTTGTTGTTATAAAGTGAAATTTTTACGAATTTTAAAAATATTAGTAGAAGATGCAAAGAAATTATATATTGATAAAAACTATATTGAAAATTAAATATCCGAATCTTGTGTTGGCGCCGCCCTAAGGCGTGCACTCGTATTTTTTGCATGCATCGCATTAAAGGTAGGACCGGCCCTGATTAATATTTAATTTCATACTTTAAGTGAATTAATTCGTCATATCCTGTTCATATGTGTATCATTCAATCTGCCATACATATACTGTATCTTATATTATTTTAATTTCTGGCACATCTCAGCTGCTTTTCGGCAATAATAATGTAGACATTTCATTTTTCTTATTTAAAATCATAAATTTATTATACATTTTATAATATTGTCTAGGTTCATAAGTAAATTGAAATTTTTGGCAGATGATAGTTTTCATTTGCTTTCATTGCAAACAATGACATGTCGTTTTTTGCAATTTTTTCTATTTGTTTCTACAATATTGCACATACATCCCAGTACTTTATAATCACATACATCCTAGAAATTCTCCTTAACAAACTTCTGAAAGATTTATTAAAATCCGAATAATTGTTTAGAAGCAGTATACAGTAAGTGCTTGTAATTTAATATGAACTTTATATGGGAGCCCCTTTAAGAGGCATAAAGATATTTTTAAAGAAATATTTAATACAATTAAAGGAATATTTATTTATCCTCATTTATCTGTAAATTTTCTGAATTTTTTTCAAAGGATTCCAAACATATATTTACTCTCCTTGTCTTTTTTCAAAAAACTGATTTATTAAATATAATATCTTCAGTTTTTTTTAAGTTTTTGCCTTCAGGGACGATAGCGACAGGTCTGTTAGACGTTTCTCTCTTAAAGTTCTTAGGTAATTTTTAATTAGTCTAATTTTCGAAAAATTTATTTTAGCAGTTGCGATTGTAACTGGAAAATTGAAAAATAAAATCAATATTGTTTTAACGTTAGTAAAATTGAGTTACTAACTTGATTTTTTAAAATTTATGATTTTAAACACGTTGTTCATGAAGATTATCTGGGATATCTTAGATATTATCTGGATTATTTGGGACAGTATTTAGTGTACAGTGTTCCAGAAGCATTTATTATCTCTTGATTTGAAACCAAAAAAAAGTTTTTTCTGTTGACATTTTTGAACATGTTAGGCATATACTACCAAAAGGTAACTATAAAATTTACCCATCATATAAATATTTTATAAATTTTTTATGGAAAATATTAAGCTGGATTAGTTTTATAGATTTTCTCATAATACAATTCACAATAATATTAACTTATTGAAATGCCGTGTGGCCATAAAAGCTGTCACAGCTGTAATTAATAATACGTGTATAATTGCCTATTATCATTTTCAAAATATTATGGATATTCTTTCGTTTTCGAAAAGTAGATACAAAGTAAATATAAATTCTTTAAAGCGTTGGACTTCAAAGTTGAAAACAGCGACCTTTTGCTTTAAAATAAAATTCAATACCTTTCGATAACAAAAAGAATTGCTAACTATGCTAGAATTATTTAAAACAAATTTTCTGAAAATTGTTGTGTGGCTTTAAAGTTTTTCGGGGGCCCCATATAATTAAGCTTAAATTGATTCTTCCTTTTAGTTAGAAAACGTTTGTATGAGAAAAAGAAAAGGGCTGTTTTTAGGGTTCTCTCGGCAATTATTCGATTTTTCTCCCCGTAAGAACCATCCATGGACTTGAACGAACATTTTAAAAGAAGAATTGGCCAAATCGGTCCAGGCGTTGTTTAGTTATGCGCTTACCAACACATTTTGCGATTCATTTTTATATATAAGAAGATACGCCTGATCGCACCTCAAATACACATACATTTTCATCAATGTTATGAGGAAGAATTGCCCCATTATTGATGTTTTTGTGTTTTAGGAACTAATACGTCCTACAAGATGTGCATCTTTAGACCGCAAACGCATTTTGCGATCCCAGGACTTCCATCCTAACCAATCCAGACAACGTAAACTATCATCAGATGTATCTGCTAGTTCTAATATCCACCAAGACATTATATATTGCCAGGATGTGCCAATACACAAAACCAGCATAGTTATTGGTACAGAAACTTCTGCAAAAGATAATTTAACCATGAAAATCCATGTACCACCACCTCCTAAAGAAAAATTGAAACGAAAGGCTAGTGAATTCCGTTTGGTGAGACTTGTAAAAAAGTTAGATGACGAGGATTTGGGGATTGTTATCAAACAAGATGATTTTTGCATCATTGAACAAATTGTTGATGGCGGTTTGGCTGATAGGTAAGTAAATTAAGGAACACAACTAGTGTAACCGCTTATAAAAAAGGTGATTTTTGGGAATTTATATCAAAAAAACTGCTTTAACAATCATTTCAAAATGTTAGGAATATACTTACACATGTTTTAAAAATTCATAGTAAAATTTTTGAAGAAAAAAAATAAATATTTTTTAAGCTATCGTCGATCTCCAACGGCGCGACAAAAAAGGCCCTTCGCTGCTGCAGTGATTCCGGCCTTCTACGTGGATGAAATTTAAAAAAAAATTCTCGTTAAACTAGATAATATTGTCTGTAAAATGAACTACGATAAAGAAAAAAAATCAAAAATTGACAAAATGACGGCGTTTTTTTTAAAAAAAGTCGAATTTTACCCAAAATTTTGTTCATTTTTGGACTGCCAAAATTCGATTTTTGATTCGATCAAAAAATCGATAGTTCATTTTTCGGAGAACTATATATAAAACATGTAAAAAAATGGATAGTGATCGGATCATTTGTTTTTGAGTAATCGCTGCAGCAAATTCGGAAAATGCTGCTCGAGAAAAACGCGTTTAAAGATATAACGATCGTTATACTATATACTATATATATACTCTTTAAATAGACCTTAAGAGGCACACCTAGTGTAAAATTTTCAAAAATCGCTTTTTCAATTTTTCTATATTTCGATAGGTTATACCTTTAAAAATAACATACCAAAATTTTAAATCGATATCTTAAATAGTTTTTGAGTGACATCTATTTAAAGAGCATATATATATATATATATATATATATATATATATATATATATATATATATATATATATATATATATATATAGTACTACTAATATACTAGTATATATATACTAGTATATTAGATCTTGAACGAAATTTGCTCTTTCAAATCTTGCTTAATATTATTCCTAGAACACTTTATAAAACATTCAGTATTCCTCGAACATTTCGTTAAAGTTCTTTGAATCATAAAAATTAAGATTTTTATTGACATTATTTTGTTTATTGCATGATTTTTGTTAAAATGTATATTTTAGGAGATATTTGCTACTTTTGAACTTGAGGGTAAGATGAACCTAATTCCAAAATTTTATGCACTTTGGAGCACAGTAAAAAAATTCAGGCCCAAATCGCCACTGCGTTTACTGCACTAAAATATACCCTCAAAATTTTACATAGATCGATTTACTAGTTTTTATTATTTTTTAATTCCAATTAACGACACACTAGGTGTGCCGTTTTATTACATTCTTCCTAATTTATTATGTGATCTTAATTTTTTATATGATTTTATTAAATTTTTTTTAATTTTTTTAAATAGTAGCTGAATGATGACACACATTTAGGGTCGAAACGTACAGAATAATGTCTATAAAATATTTATCTTTATTAACTTCCCGTAGGGTAAGTTATTGTAATGGGTCGAAAATCGAAATTGAAAATTTTTACATTTCTCGACGTTTTGAAGGTTTCTGAACATTTTGGCATACCTCAGAAAAAATGGATGTGTGTGTGTGTATGTATGTGTGGATACAAATTTCCAGTCACGTTTTCGGGCGCACGGATCAACCGATTTGAATGGTTCAAAAAATATTCGATTCCTATTCATAGGGAAAAGAGCTGATTAGTTTTTGGCGAAAGCAGGTCCTGCCGTTTCGGAGATACGGAGCAAAGAGTGCCGCAAATAGAAATCGACTTTTTTAGAGAACGAAGTATCCAATTTGAATGATCTAAAAAACATTCAATTAGTAATGATTGGGTGAAGCGTTTATTAGTTTTCGGCAAAGGCAGGCCCAGCCATTTCGAAGATACGGAGCTAAATATGTAAAAAATGGCAGTTTTTGAGAGAACTAAGCGTCCGATTTAAATGATTCAAAGAACTTTCTGCTTGTCTTAACAAAATAATTGATTTTGGAAAAAAAAATCCCTTTTTTTTTATTAAAAAAATTTTTTTTTTATTTTTTGTATATCGAAAATAATTCAGATTTTATTTTTAATTCTGACTATAGTTCTAATATATACTTTGAACAAATAATTTCAACTTTGCAATTCAGTTTATATAATTCTTATAAATATTAGACAATGTTACAATATTTATAATAATCTATTTGAAAACATTCAGTATTCCTCGAACATTTCGTTACGGTACGGGAAGTTCCAGCAATTTGCCTTAAGGCACGATGCCATACACCCTACTAGTTATTTTTTAATATCCATAAACGACACACTAGGTGTGCCGTTTTATTACATTCTTCTTAATTTATTATATGATCTTAATTGTTTATATGATTTTATTAAATTTTTCTCAATAAGTAGCTGAATGATGACACACATTTAGGAATAATGTCTATAAAATATTTATCTTTATTTAAAATTTATCCTTTACAAATGCATTTTTTTAACTTATCTAGTAAGTGTTCTAATAATTTTTTGCTTTCAGGGAAGGCACTTTACGTCCTGGCGACGAAATCGTGAACATCGGCAACCAACGTTTAGCAAAACTGCCTTTGGCACAAGTCCAAGCAATTTTAGCACAAACTGGTAAAATAGTTGACTTAGTTATCAGAAGACGTGTAGTCGATGTAGTTGACTTAAAACTACCCACACCAAAGGATATAGACTACAAATCCTTAGCAACATCATGTCTGGACATCACAAAACCACCTGAACTCACCCAAACCCAAACAGAACTTTTACCCCAAGATCAAAATATTATTACCAAACGTCGTCAATCGATAGACCAAAATTTTTCCTCGATGAATTTCTGTACTTTACCCCGAAGGCCAAAATCGAGTGCCTGCACTTTTCATACAGTCCTTTTTGAAAAGGGTCAAGGGAAAAAAAGTTTAGGGTTCACAGTTGTTGGTGGTAGAGATTCTCCAAAGGGCAACATGGGTATTTTTATCAAGAGTATTTTGGAGAGTGGACAGGCTGCCGATGATGGTCGATTGAAGGCTGGTGATGAAATTTTGGCGGTCAATGGTAATGTTTTTGATAATTTGTCGCATTCGGAGGCTGTTGCTGTTTTTAAGGGCATTAAGAGCGGACCTGTTGCCCTGCATGTTTGTAGACGAGGCCTCAAAGGGGTAAAGGGGTAAAGGACAAGGGGTAAAAAACAACTATTTGTTTGATAATGCTGAGAAGTTTTGCAAAAACCAATTATAAGTTTTTGGATCAATATTGTAAAGGACACGCGCCGATTTTTTTCTACGAAGTCGATGATTTATGATGATTTACTGGTGGATCAATATTCAAAGGAAGTTTGATGGAAAAGAATTTTATATTAAGATGTTGACCAATTAAAGACATTTACTGTAAAAATAATTGTCCTGGTTGCCTGGTATCCTGAAATTTTTGTATAATGATGACCAAATTAGATTTACGTTGACCAAAAAGTTTTTGCAACATTTTTGAAATACCAAGGAGTGAAATTATGAATTGAATTGATAATTGATACACTTTATATTAATCCAGATGAATTGGCTCATATTTAGAAGATTCTGGAAGTTTATTTATATTTTTTGGGTAAAGAAGGAATTGATAAAGACGTAGTTTACTTGGTGAGTTGATTCAATTCTTGAAATTTTCTTTAAAAACTAATAAAATTCGCCATATTTTTTGAGACAAAGAAGAAATTTGAATTATTTTGACCAAGACCAGTAGAATGATGATTTCGGTTAAAATTCTAATAAATTGATAATCAGGAAGTCAGGTAATAATTTTTATTAGAACCAACAAAAATCTAAGGTAAGTTAATGCCAAATTAGGCTTGATGTTGAGAAAATATTTAGAATTCAAGGAATTATTGTTATATTGTTTGAATTATTGTTTCTGGATAAATTAAAATAGTAAAGGAAATACTTTTAGTTTTGGTAAAAATCGAAACATACAATGATGATTTTTTATCAAGAGTTTAATATTGACCAAGAATTTAGCAAAATTATAATATCCTTGGTTAATCTGAATCAGGTGAAGATTTTTCTTGAATTTTGCATATTTTAGTTTGCAAAAACAATTCAAACTAATCACATAATAATTCAAGAATGAGCAAAAAACAGAATTTTTCCACTTTAATTGATATTTCTTGTAAATATAAAAATCAACACAAACAATAAAGAAATCTTTGGTAAATCTTTGCATAAATAAATTTAACAAATATATTGTGGACTATATGAAGAAATGTAAATGTAGATATAAAATAGATTTATTTAACATTTAAACGTGACAACATATTAGTTAAATTATTAATAAATACTTTCTGTATATATATATTAGATATTTTCCATAAAAATTTCTAGTATCCTAGTATATAAATTTATTATTTACTTAACCCAAAGAAATTTTCATAAAATTAGTATAAATATAGTTTTAATTCTAGAATAAAATTTTATTTTTATATTTGACTATTATATATATATATATATATATATATATATATATATATATATATATAAGAATAAATATTATATTTTGTATATATCAACTAAATATATGTGTATGTCATAAATATAAAATATATTTTTTAAACATTAATTTAAGTTTTTTTTAAATTATTTTCTTATATGAATAGCTGAATGATGACACACATCCAGAGTCAAAACGTACAGAATAAATATCTTCTAAATTAAAAATATAAGTAGGTATTTTTATGAAATATTTGTTTTTTCTATAACATCTGTTTAAAAAAAGATCATGAACAGTGGTTAATTAATTTTTAATGTATTAAGTTAATTTCTAAAAAAATTTCAAAAAAATATTTTTGCAAATATTTCAAAAATATGTATTTTATAAATAAAATTGTAATACTACTAAATTGTTTTTCTTTGCAGGTTTCTTAGGCGTATTACTTTATCGAATTGTGTGCGAAAAACATTGCAAACTAGACAAAAAGTAAGTAAAATATTTTACAAATTTTATTATTATTGATGATGTGTCCGATGGCAGGTCCATGATGGTACAACACTCTATTTTTATCCTTTAGTTATAATTTGATAAATTTCTCAAACTTTTATTCCAAACTTTTGTCCTGATTTCCAGTTAAGTTTTTTTAAGTTTTTACTCTAATTGTGATTCATAAATTGAATTTTAATATAATATATAATAATTAAAATTTTTAAATCAAAACTTCGTAATTATTTCTTACTAATCCACAGCAGCAAAAAATATTTCAAATAATTATGTGGAAATTTTGGTAGTTCAGTTCTAAACTTTTATATTATTAAAAAACTTATCAAAATTATAGTAATCAATAGTAAGTTTCAGAAAATTACGACATTTTTATTAAATCAGATCACCACAGTACCTTTATTTTAATTTTATTTTTTAGTGAAATAATTATATATCTTATAAAAGTATACTCCGGCAAGGCTATATTACTTTGCATTTTTCATATAAAATGGCACTAAAAACTGTCAAAATACTAGTGGTTGCTGTGCAGTCAGGCGCTTGAGATGTAAAACTTTACCTAAAGAACCCACAAAGGTCAAAAAAGAACCTGAGAGTGCATTGTTGTCAAGTGGCATAATGACATATGAGTGAAGTTACATTTTAAGTGCAAAAGTGACAGTTTTTAGTACTATTTTATATGAAAAATCCTACCTAACATAGCCTTGCCATTACATTAGAATATTCTGCGGCCCATGAATATAGTAATCGTATATATATATATATATATATATATATATAAGATTTACTATTTCTTCTATCATCTACCAAGTCCCTCATTATTATTAAAGACTATGTTATGCTGCATTTTTCATATAAAATGGCACTATAAACTGTCAAAATATTTGTACTTGCTGTGCATTCAGGCGTTTTAGATATAAAACTTTGCCTAGAAAACGCACAAACGCCAAAAAAGAATCTTATCAGAAGAGCATCTTTGTGATGTGGCATAATAACATATGGGTGAAGTTGCATTTTTTGTGTAAAACGCAACCACATAGCACTTTGACAGTTTTTAGTACCACTTTATAGCATTTTGACAGTTTTCAGTACCATTTTATATGAAAAATCATAAGTAACATTGGTCTATTTTACAACCCATCAATATCATAACAGGATTTACTATTTTTTATCGTCCTCCAGCGCTCGCATTATTATAAAAGTGACTTTGTAGTGAAATTATAAAACTTGTTGCTTTTAAATCTGCTAAGATATAAAATAATTATTACCTTATCTTAAACTAGTTCAGAAGCAAATAATTAAATGAAATAAAATAGAAAAAAAAGATTTCTCTGGGAAGATAAAGTGTTATTATATTATATATAAATTTTATGCAAATATAAAATAATAACAAACTATTAGATTGTGGTTTAACATAACACGTTTAAAATTCTTCCTGTCTTTATATATTAATATAATAATAATATACATATATATTTATAAACTTTAGATTTTTTGTTCGACTTTGAAGCATATTTTTGATATCACATAATTGAACTAATTATTCTGTACGTTTTGACAATCTATGTGTGTCGTCATTCAATACGTTAAACAAAACCAAAAAATATTAGACTAAAGTCTAAAACTCTAGCAATTCCTAGATAATTCGATCTTGGATCAAGTTTTGTGAACCTCTTCGTTTCTTTATTGCCTAAAAAAATTAAATTTTATTATTTATCTTTCAGTTTATTATTTCATTTAAAACAATGTCTTTAAAAATCTTGTGTTGAGTTTGTTCCTGATTTGATAGGAATCGAGTGATTTTTATTTGTTATCTTCTAATAATTTTGTAATTTTATTTAAACTTTGTAAAATATTCTTTAGAATTTGTTCAACGTGTTTTAGAATGATGACACACATAAAGCGTCGAAATGTACATAATAAATAGTTCAATTATTTGTTGCTTTTCATAACGACTACTTTGAACAAGAAAATCGAAAGTTTACGTATATTTAAATATAGTTAGGAACGTTGTATTTGCAAGGCCAAAGCTTCTGCTACAAAGCCACAGACAAACTTATTGATATAATATGAATTTTGTATAGATGTTATATTAGTTATTTGGATTTTATTAGTTTTTTGACAAATATTTTATGAGAAATTTGCGAAATTTGAAAGAGACCTTGGAAAAGTCGCAAGTTGTAGACCTTGAAAATATAACATGTATATATATATCTTATATATATATATATATATATATATATACATTTATATATGTACAGTAAACCCCGTTAAGACGATTATCCAGAAATCACGTCTTATGCGAGAAATCTTATTATATTAAATTAGGACAATATGTTTGCAAAGTGCAGAAATGGTTACGAAATGGCGTATCATGCGAAAAATCGTATTAAACATGATTCTTTTATTCAGGGTGCATCCATATACATTATTGAACGACATTTTACTTGAATATCTGTTATGCAATATTTACAAAAATTTTGGACAATGCATTTGCGAATGCATTGCAATGTCATTGAAGGACATTCACATAAAAATAAATATATATATATATAATATGAATTCAAAATTCAAATAAAATCAGAATATGTGTTTTGAAAGTTTATTTATTTATTTACGACGTTTTGGATCTAGCTTTGTTTCATCATCAGTTTTTTTGTCAACTATGTAGTTTGTTCTAGTCAAAGAATTAAATGGATTCAAAATCGAAATAAAAACCCAAAAAAGTTGAAAAATTTCATTTATTTATTTATTTCTCTGTCTTTTGTTCTAGTCAAAAAACTTGTCATGAAAGTATCTTGTTGGAAAACCAAACTATTAATTCGTTTCAGAACAAGCAATTTTTACTAAATTAATAAATCCTAATAATAACAATAAACAACAAAAAATGTAATTTCATTCAAAATATTAGTTGCGTGTTATTTTCTATAATTAATTATTTGTTTTTGCAATACATTATATATTATTAATATTTATTTAAATTTACAAAAATCTCGAAATGAATTCTAGGCGTCTATTGTTAATAGCTTATTGTTTTTTCTCTTTGCATTTAAATTAAAATAATTAAATTAAATTATTACAAAATTAAAAAAGTGTTTTTGACAAAAAAATGAGTGATATTAATTTATGGAAAAATATCTGTGAAAACTTGATGATGGAACGTATCTAGTTCCGAAACGTCGTAATTAAACATCTACAAAAAACTTAGTGTTTAATTAATTTATTGAATTATATGTTTGAAGCAGAAACATATAGCAATTAATTGAAAATCCAGGATTTATCTATTATATTATAATGTATTATACTATTATATATGATTATAAATTAAATTTAACTAATATACATTTATTAAATCAGTGCAGAAAAAAAATTCAAAACTGTTAAAAAATGTCTAGAATGAAATACAGAAAAAAAATATTTTTATACATGAAAAATTGCAAATTGAATATTAAATTTAATATTTTGTTAATAAAAATTATACCAATAATAGCAATTAAAAGCGTAGTCGTTCAAATTTAATAATTTTGACATTTAAAATCTAACAGAAATTTTGCAAAAATTAATAACAATAAACAAAAACATATTTATTTACGTATAATAGTAATTTGGCTCACTTTT